CATTTATACTCACTAGGGAAGGTCGTCAGGTCGAAGTGGCCATTTGTGATGAGATGTAGATCACTAGACGTGGTTTTGGACGCTGATCTTGAATCTGCCTTCAAAATTTGCAAAGCGATTCTCTGAACGGAGTTATGGAGCCGCGTTTACCACGCAACAGGTCATGGGATCGGATCCCTGCTGAGCTTAACTTTTTTGCTTGTTTGCGCACTAAGACGTGGCAAAAAGTGATTTTGCCGTCACTACTACTTCAGTTCTCACCTGAGCTTGTCTGAAGAAAAGTTTGCCTCCGTTTATTACTGCGCTTGGACTCCTTGTAGAAGCACTGTAGTGCACTGTAGTCTACAAGGAGTCCAAGCGCAGTAATAAATGGAGGCAAACTTTCTTCAGACAAGCTCAGGTGAGAAAACTGAAGTAGTAGTGACGGCAAAATCACTTTTTGCCACGTTTGCGCAACAAGCAAAAAAGTTAAGCTCAGCAGGGATCCGATCCCATGACCTGTTGCGTGGTAAACGCGGCTCCATAACTCCGTTCAGAGAATCGCTTTGCAAATTTTGAAGGCAGATTCAAGATCAGCGTCCAAAACCACGTCTAGTGATCTACATCTCATCACAAATGGCCACTTCGACCTGACGACCTTCCCTAGTTAGTTCAGTCGCCTTTTTGGCCGACTTACAACCGTATCGCCAGCAATGTGCGTGACTGAATTATTAGAACTGGAATATTACCGTTGAGTATGGCATTTTCTGACATTACTCATGAGCATTCATATAAACAACAAACACTTTCTGAGGTTCACAAAAATCATTCAGAGTCGACACATTCCTTGAATCATGGCATCAATCAAGCTATAGAAAGCTTAAGACCAAAAGTTTCCGCGAACTGTTTTCGAAGGGGATTCCAATAAGTAGGTAATGGGGGTACTCGAAAAAATGAGCATCATAGCAGTGTAGATAATGACCAGACAGATCGAATAGGAAAACCTATCTCAAATCACAACTGGCTCAACCCTAACTCCTAGTGATACTCACTGTATGAAAGGAATCGCTACGAGTACGACTGATTCCTCTCAATACTTTCAAGTTTCCTACCAGCACAACATGGATTGACATCTACCAACCTCTGTTACAGGACTATTTGGCGGTTTGGTCGTCCCGCAATTCATGGGCACACATCATCGAGGGTTCTTCTGCGACGACGAATCAATACAGTATCCCTACAAGAAGGACACAGTTGATCCAGCAGTTCTAGTTCTCTACGTCTTCTTTGTGATGATAGTTGTGGTGAGATTCCTTTATAGCGATTTCTCGAACATTCGTCCAGAGGGAGCGGCTTATGTAGCTATCGTGGGGCTCCAGCCAAAACACGCCATCACGTCGTGTAAACTTCCTGCTGAATGGGACCTCCCCCACCTCAAGAAGGCTGAAAATCCAAGCAGAGGCAAAACAGAAATCATATTTGAATTGATTACTCGAATGTTGAGCGTTCGAGATGTTGAGAATTGAGAGAGAAAGGGAGAGAGAGAGAGAGAGAGAGAGA